CACAAAGACAGACACCAAGACAGGGCAGGATGCAAATGCATTACAGGAGGATCTAAATAAACTGCAGGGGTGGTCTGAAAAATGGCAAATGAAATTCAACACCAGCAAGTGCAGCGTACTTAATATTGGAAGAACAAATACTTATAATGTATACAGCCTTAACAACATCAACCTAGAGATGTCGACTTGTGAAAGAGACCTAGGGGTACTTGTAAGCCCGGACCTACGGCCTAGAAAACAGTGCGTTAATGTTCGAAATAAGGCAAACAGAGTATTGGGTTTTATATCTAGAAGTGTAAGTAACAAGAGTGCAGAGGTCTTATTGCAACTATATCTTGCGCTAGTCAGGCCGCACCTCGATTATGCGATTCAGTTCTGGTGCCCCTATTATAGAATGGATATCAATTCACTAGAGTCGGTGCAGCGAAGAATGACAAAAATGATTCCGGGACTTAGAAACCTTCCATATCAGGATAGGTTAAAGAAACTTAACTTGCATTCCGTAGAAAGACGAAGAGTGCGGGGAGATATGATAGAAGTATTTAAGTGGGTGAAAGGAATCAATAAAGGGGATATAGATAAAGTTCTTATAATATCCGAGCAGGATAGGACTCGGAGCAACGGATTCAAGTTGGATAAGTTTAGGTTTAGGAGGGAGATAGGAAGAAACTGGTTCACAAATAGGGTGGTGGACGAGTGGAACAAGCTTTGTAGTAAGTGCGGGAACTCTGGAAAGTTTCAAAAGGAGGCTAGATAGATTCATGGATGATAGAGAGTGGTAGTAACTCTCGACAGGAGCTGCCATGCACAGGCCAACCGGCCTATTGCAGACTCCTTATTTTCTTATGTTCTTATGTAGACGAACAGACACCAAGGCAGACAGATACGGACAGACATCCAGACGCCAAACCACGAACGCAAAACATGAGACAATAAACAACTAATAAGAGGCGTTACAATATACAAGTGTTGATCCAGGATGTGGTAGCGTATGGAGACAATAATACAACTGGTTATGTGTTGGTGGTGGGGAGGGGTTCATCTTTCATCATATTATTATCTCCTCTCTCACTCTCCCTCCCTTCCTACTCCGTGCTCCCACACTCCCTCTATCCCTCCTTCACGTTCTGTCCATCCCTCCCTCAAATTCCTTCCTTCCTTCTCTCATGTTCCCTCCATCTTCCCACACATTTCTCCGTCATTGTTCCTCCCTCCCTCTCCCTCAGCGTCGGTTATTCCGTCTCAATCATAATTGTTTTGTTCAATTCAGTCTTTATTGCCACTTCCTCCATTTCCTCCTCCCCCCTCTCCCTTCCCTCTCGTCCTCTCCCTCCCCCTCTCCTCTCTCCTATCCTTCCTCTCGTCCCACTCCTCCTCTCTTTCCTCTCCCGTATCTATCCCCTCTTCTTCCAAGCACTTCTCCCTCCTCCCTCATCTACCTCACATCATCACCTGACCTCTCTCTCCCCCTCCTCTACTCCCTCTCCTCTCCTCCCTTTCCCTCTCCTTTCTATCCCCTCCTCTCCTCTCTCTCCCCCTCCCATCATCCCCGCCACCCATCCGTCAAGCAGTGGGCGTGCACACGTGTCAACAAATGACGTCACGGGGCAACACGTGCAGCACGCATCCCGCGCCTCATCTGAATTTCATCTTGGTGCCGCGCCACGTGTGCACCCCTCTCTCTTAACCCCTCTCCCCACCCGGTCGCCCTGTCCCATCTCCCTCTTCCCCATCCCTCCCTCTTCCTTCCCCACTCCCTCCCCACCCCTATCCCCACTCTCCCCCCATCCATCACCTTTCCCCATCACCCCTCTCCCTTCTCCTTCTCTCTTCCCTACCACCCCATGCCCCATCACCCTTCCCTCTCCCCACCCCTACCCCATCACCCTTCCCTCTCTCCCCTTCCCCATCACCCCTCCATCACCTTCCCCTCTTCCCACTACATCACCCTTCCCCTCTTCCCACTATATCACCCTTCCCTCTCCTCCCCCACCCCTACCCCCATCACCCTTCCCTCTCTCCCCACCCTACCCCATCACCCCTTCCCTCTCCCCACCCTATCATCCTTCCTCTCTCTCCCCACCCTACCCCATCACCCTTCTACACCCTCAACCTAACCTAACTTAACTCCCAAGGTAACATTAGGTGTAATATACTTGGTGAGGAAGACCAATCTTCAGGTGATTCTAAACATCGAAAATACAACCTTGAGAGTTACCGAGAGTCACCAGCGAGGCCTTCTGACGACTGGTTCCTCTCCGCCCTCGGCTGTGTACCAACGGGACGCTCAGCCGAGAATTTAATATAACATAATATAACGCAATGAATTTCAATAACAACCTTTACCTTATTATTTTTACCTGTAATAAGAGGAGTGATTTTATCTTCTATAAAAAATATATATAGTTTTTAATATATCTACTAGAATATAATATTATGTACTTCTATTGATCATATATTATAAGCTTAATCAATATGTTAATTGTCCCTGTATGTATAAAACTACATATCCTTTCTAGCATACATTTTACGCGTTCCAATGTGTTTATTAGATCAATTCATCGTGTTTGAGTTAGAAAAAATTTGGTTTGTTATTTGGACCTTGAAGTTATGTGGTCAGGGAAACGGACACGGGAGGCGCCATGTTGAGAGGGATACCAGTAACAGTGATTAGACGTCATGTTGAGATGTATACCAGTAACGGTGAATAGACGCCATGTTGAGAAAGGTACCAGTAACAGTGACAGAGGCGCCATTTTGTGAGGGATACCAGAATTTTCCTGTATATAATATTTCACAATATAAAAGGAACATGATGCGGTTACATAAATAAAACATTACAACCATAAACGGAACAGTATGAAAGGTTATATTTTGTATACGAAACTGTTTCAATATAAAAACTCATAGTCAAGAACTAATATATTTACTGGTAATTTTTTAACATTCTTGTTTATTATTTTATTTTTCATTCGTAATTCCTCTCCTGTGTAACACCCTGACACACACACACACACACACACACACACACACACACACACACACACACACACACACACTATACAAAGCTATATCAGGACTTGTATAACTTTTCCCAATGTCAACGTTATATAAAATACTATTCTTGGTAGTCTCCTTCGTGTCAACACTCAGCCATCACGTGACAATATGGGTGTTGTGTGGTGTGGTGTGGAGGCCATGGGATGCGGGCGACCTATTGTGCGGGAGTTTGGCGCTGTGAGAGTGTGGCAGTGTGTGAAACTGTGTGACGGTGTATGTCACTGTGTGAGTGTGCCGGTGAGTGTAGCGATGTGTGACTGTGAGGCCAAGGAAGTGTTTGGCAGTGTGTGAGAGTGTTTCGGTGTGAGTGTATGACAGTGTGTGAGTGTGACGCTGTAAGAGAGTGACGCCCTTAGTCTGAAGCCCTCATTGCGACGCCCTGAGAGTGACATATTACACTACACGCTCTTGAGGACTGTGGGAATCTCACACAATACACTATGCAGCTCCTTGAATAAGAGAGTCTTCACCACCACCACCTCCTCCTACTTCCCCTCCGCCTCTTCCTCCTCCTTACAGCAAGTGTTAAGATGTCTGACTATGACTACTGCCACTGGGTACTCGAAAAGGTGAGGGGGGCACAGACACGGTGTTATGTCCTTACTAGAGACAGATAGACAGACAAACAGACAGCCACACAAGTAGACAGACAGACAGACAGACAGACAAACAGATAGACAAAACAAAACATAAAGAAGGAATTGAAAAAGAATTAACACTAGGATCGTAAGCCTAGTAATGCCGATTTAGGTTAGATTATGTTAAATTAGGTTAGATTAGCTTAGGTTAAGTTAGGATAGGACTAAGATGTTTATTAATCAGGTGAAATAAGCAGATGTTTCTAATCATAATGAGACCCTTAATTTGCTGTGGACTTTCATCCATAAAACTCAAACCAACAAGACGTAACAGCCAAGACCTTCGTCGCCACCAGTAACTCTCTCTCTCCTTCATATCAACAAAGTCACGTGTCTGAGGCGATGGTAACTCACAGAGTCCTAGTCCGCCCTTATCTCATTATTTTTTTATGAAGAGCAGAAAAAAATATTCTCTGCGGTCAATGGGGAGTAAATCTGTTGTATGAAATAGACACAATAAAGAAAGTCAGATTTATGTGGAACTTTACCCAGATTTCATACCGATTTATGAAGTGGCCTATTAATCAGTTGTTTATGTACTGTTACCTCTATATGGTGATAAATAACTTGAAATAAAGGGAAAGAGGATTTGATCATTACCTTAGAATCAGTACAATTTCCCTCAAGAATATGGTATTATTGTTAGTACTAAAGCCCACCGCCAGGATATACATACAGATTACATAAATGAGGTCGATTTATTTCATTATTTTAGTGTAGTAAACTGTGCTGTATGTATTAATAACTTTTGCTTCTTTGAACAAACACTGCCTCTCTAGTGTAGCTTTAGGAGGGAAAATAACATGACAATTACCTGACATGACACTAGCCTCAAGTGACATTATAACAACTAAGTGATATGACAACTGCCCCTGACATAACAACTACCCTTGACATGACAACAACTATCCTTGATATGACAACAACTACCACTGACATGACAACAACTATCACTGACATGACAACAATCATGACAACAACTACCACTGACATGACAATAACTACCTCTGACATGACAACAACTACCACTGACATGACAATAACTACCTCTGACATGACAACAACTACTACTGACATGACAACAACTACCACTGACATGACAATAACTACCTCTGACATGACAACAACTACTACTGACATGACAACAACTACCTCTGACATGACAACAACTACTACTGACATGACAACAACTACCACTGACATGACAATAACTACCTCTGACATGACAACAACTACTACTGACATGACAACAACTACCACTGACATGACAACAACTACCACCTGACAACAACTACCACCAACATGACAACTTCTACCACTGACATGACAACAACTACTACTGACATGACAACAACTACCACTGACATGACAATAACTACCTCTGACATGACAACAACTACTACTGACATGACAACAACTACCACTGACATGACAATAACTACCTCTGACATGACAACAACTACCACTGACATGACAACAACTACCACTGACATGACAACAACTACCACCAACATGACAACTTCTACCACTGACATGACAACAACTGTCTCTGACATGACAACAACTGCCACTGACTTGACAACAACTGCCACTGACATGACAAGAACTACCACTAACATAACAACAACTGCCTCTGACATGACACCAACTACCACTGAAATGACAACAACTACCCCTTACATGACAACAACTACCCCTTACATGACAACAACTACCCCTGACATGACAACAACTACCCCTGACATGACAACAACTACCCCTGACATGACAACAACCGCCTCTGACATGACAACAACTACCCCTGACATGACAACAACTACCCCTGACATGACAAAAACTACCCCTGACATGACAACAACTATCACTGACATGACAACAATCGCCTCTGACATGGCAACAACTACCACTGACATGACAACAACTACCACTGACATGGCAACAACTACCACGAACATGAAAACAACTACCCCTGACATGACAACTGCCTCTGACATGACACCAACTACCACTGACATGACAACAATTGCCTCTGTCATGACAACAACTACCACGAACATGACAAAAACTACCTCTGACATGACACCAACTACCACTGACATGCCACCAACTACCACCGACATGACACCAACTACCACCGACATTACAATAACTACCACTGACATAGCAACTGCCTCTGGTATGAAACCAACTGTCTCTGACATGACAACAACTGTCTCTGACATGACTCCCAATAAACACAAACATCAAGAGACTTAATAAACGCACAGGTAGGCACCAACATATTAGCACTGGTTAAAACAGAGAGGGTCACCCGTATCCCAGACTAACATGCCTCCGTCACTCCAGGTTTTAGTGAGGTTAACGCCACATTCACCCAAGTTTTTTGTAAGGTATGTGTCAAATAATTCTGAGTTAGTACATTGCTAACATCACATGAGTTAAATTTTCGTGTGTGTGAACTAACTTTTCTTAATGTGTGCTTTCTAATGTGGTAATACAATACTATTTTTTAAGTTGTGCGAGTTTATTGTTGTTGTTGCTATTATAATTATTATTATAATTATTATAATTATTATTATTATTAATATTATTATTCGGTTTCATCATCGTTGTTAAGGTTTTGTCTTTCATTTTATTTAATTTTGTTGTTTCTTGAATGTTGTTGTTGTCGTCCGTAGTCGTCCGTACTCGTCCGTGGCCCGCCCGTACACGCGCCAGTGAGCGTTTCATCTTGTCGACTGCTTGGTTAAAACTGCTGACTCTCTTTTCCTGAAAGTTACCTGAATTTGTGACGTCAGAGTGCGCTTCTACAGGTGTATGTGACGTCGGAGTGCGCTTATGCAGGTGTATGTGACATCAGAGTGCGCTTCTACAGGTATATGTGACGTCCGCGTGTGTTTCTACAGGTATATGTGACGTCAGGGTCCGCGTCTACAGGTGTATGTGACGTTATCCTGTTGTTGGTGTATTTTTACCGTTGTTGCTACAACTGTTGATGTATTTTTACTGTTGCTGCTACTTCTGTTTTTATTATTACTGTAGTGACTTCACATTGTTATTGTTGTATTGTGGCCGATAGTAAAGTTTGTTACGATAGCTGTTATTGTTATGTGTAGTGTTAATGTCAATGTTATTACTGGGTTATTTTTGTTATTCTAATATGGCAGTGTTAGTGATATGTTATGGTGGCTGTTGTTGTTGTTACTGTTGTTACACACACACATACACACACACACACACACACACACACACACAGATTATTCTCTCCCCTTCCTACTCCACATATCAAGAAGCGCTCAACACACTGACCCTTTCGACTCTCACTGACCATCACCACGACCTCATCTGCAAATTTGGTAAGAAGCTTCTGCACCATCCTCGACACCGGCTCCTACTACCACCTGAGATCCCTGGCCCGAGAATTGCTGTTCGACACCACAACCGCATCCAGCCCATACGTGCACGAACTGGTCGCTATAAGAACAGCCCAGTCCCAACCATTGTAAAAATTATCAATAACTTGTAATAAACCAGTGTATTCACTCCCAGTAAATACTACTTCTTGCACTGTCACTATGTTGAAATGCCCTGTAGTTTGAGCTTTTCCCCATCTAGTTATTATATATCTTATCTGTATCACTTATGGTATTTGTATATTATTTGTAAATCGAAACCCATTCCCCAATTATGTAACTGTATATTTTCAGCCTTCAGGCTGCCAAGCTCTTTCAATAAACCGTTAATTATTATTATTATTATTATTATTATTATTATTATTATTGTTATTATTATTACTATTATTATTATTATTATTACACACACACACAAACACGCTCGACATATATTAATTAACTAAAAATGAAAGAATATATCTCCATTGTCATTTTCTCCTTCATTTCACAATAAAATTAACAAAATCTTGCATGAAAAATATTTTGTTTTAGAATGAGTTTTATTGTTCCAGAGCGAAGCATTTGTACTTTTTCTGGCAATTTTCATTTTAGTGTAACTTTTTGGGGGAGAATGAAAACTATGTATCGTCTGTCTGTCTGTCTATCTGTCTGTCTGTATGTATGTCTGTCTGTCTGTCTGTCTGTCTTCCCAGAATCTCAAAGTGACTTTAGACCATCACGTGACACCACTGACATGATCTTTGCTGCCCGCCCGAGACAGGAAACGTGCAGAGAACAGCGTTGTGACCTGTACATGGTTTCATCGACCTAACCAAAGCCTTCGACTCCGTCAACAGGGAAGCCCTGTGGTGGACCCTCAGCACGTTTTGGCTACCCACCAAAATTCATCGCCGTTGTAAGGCAACTCCATGATGGCATGAACGGCAGTGTCCTGCACAATGGCACCCAGTCTGAGTTCTTCCCCATCCTAATGGGGGTTAAGCAAGGGTGTGTACTAGCACCAACTCTCTTTTCCATTTTCTTGGCTGCCTTCTTTACTCGTACCAGTGCCAATTTAACCGGCAGGGTGGACATTGATTACCGAATGAAGGGTCTTTTCAACATAAGACGACTCCAGGCAGCAACAAAGGTGTCGGCAGCTTCTATACTGAACTTCAGTATGAAGATGACCTCGCCTTTGTCGCTCACACTGAACGCGACGTACAGGAGATCCTGAACACCTACGCAGAGGCATATGCACACTTTGGCCTTGAGGTGAATGTATGTAAGACTCAGATTCTCTTTCAGCTTACCCCTGGTTCAACCACACCTCCACCATCCATCCAGCTTAACGGTACTGTCATGATCTTAATGACGGCTAGCCTGTTAAAACCTAATAATTCATATTACACTCCACGTCCACAAAACCTGTAAACCTTCTGAGTCTCCCAGTGGAAACGCCCTCCGTTTTCTCTGTATCTTTGACGTCGTCATACAGATGCCGTATTTTGGTGGACCGAGACTCATAAGCTCTTTTTCACCTACCGAGACTTGCCAGCTCTTTTTCACCTATGAATATCAGAGATCCTGATACTCATAGTGAAATTGTTGTAAGGATGTTAACTATGGAATTAGTTAATTAACCTGAAGGGAACCTTGAAACCAGCTTTCTTTGTAGATGTAGTCAGACGCAACCTAACTTAGGCTACGCCCATCGGGATTGCCATCCAGAACCTTTTGAAATCAATTTAATTCTTGCCTTCGATAGCTCAGTCAGAGCATAGTTTGCAAAGAGAATATTAGGGAATGAAACTGAGTTCGTAGTCTCAGTTTCAAATGTCAGAGTATACAGGAACGTAATACAGTGTAATAGTTGAGTGAGTGGCAACCGGACCTTGCGGGCAGTGGAGAGTGCGCCTGGCATTTTCAAACCGTTAGTCAGCGCCACACTCCTCCACTCACAGGTATGTATGTCCACTTCTCGTGTTGTAACTTTCCATTTTAAGTGATTTGACCTAATTAATAGTTTGAATATGCAAGTGTTACAGTAACGTAGCTGATGTATTTTGAGTGAAATATTTTTACGCCCTTAACGTCCTTTTGAAACGTTGATGTTTATTGAAAACCATTAGTCAGAGCCACACTCCTCCACTCACAGGTTCCTTTAGGAGTCTAAGCCGCGTGTCTGTAGCTTGGGGACGCCCTCCACTAGTTTGGGAGATGTATGAAGGCCAGTAGAATCGGGTAGCTTCGTGAACCCGAGCGTCAGGAACCCACTACCACCTATGGGCCCCAGAGCACTGGCCAGCCTTCACCTGACGCGTTCACTGCCCACGCGGTGACATAGAACATAAGGCCACACAAACAACTGCCAGCCCCCATCATTGTTGGATGAGTCCATGACTCAGTAGGGCTAATTGGTGGTTGTGTTATTCCACCGGAATTGTCGGAGTTTGTTCAAAGGTGCCACGTGGTGAGGAGACTCCCATGGTTGGGGCTGCTTGAGTATTATTTCTGGTGCTGTTGAGTATTATGTCTGGTGCTGTTTGAGCAGTCAAGTGTGGTAACTGGCGTCATTGCCACGGGTATTAACGGTGCTTTAAGGTGCTGAGAGAGAGTTTATGTGTGTTCTTGTACTGTATATGTACACCCAGTCGTGGTGTAAGCGGAAATTGGGCCTAAGGGCCACAGTACAAAATAAGTTATACCAGGGAGTTCCTATTTGTTCATTAAATATGACGTCATTTTAATAACTATTTTGTGCTTTTGATAAACCATTTTATTTGTATGTTGGGGCTATTATTCACCTTCACCGTTATTCCTTCCTATTGCTTGACACCATAATTACATGTACCCATGGGCCTAACCCTCGAGTCACGCTACCACAGGTCAGAGGTTAAAGTAAAAGTAATGTAAGATGAGAGTTCACACTCTTATAGTACTACTCTCTCTAATGTTACCCACTTTCGGTATCTCGGCTCCCGCCTGTTCATCACTGTGGACATCGATGAAGAGATTCAACATCTGATCAGATGTGCATCTCAAGCCTCGGCCCGACTCCGAAACCGTGTCTTCAGCTGTATAGGGAGCTGAAATTATCTACAAAGTTGCACGTACATCGAGCAGTGGTCCTCCCCATCCTGCTATATGGCAGTGAGATATGGGTCACAGGAGGCACCTCAAGGCACTTGAAAACTTTCACCAATGTAGTCTACGTTCCATCCTCCGAGTTCGATGGGAAGAGAACAAACGCCAGTATTCTTGCTGACCAACTGTAGGAGACCATTATCCATGAACAGCTATGCTGGACTGGCCATGTAACCCCCATGGACGACAGTAAACTCCCAAACTCGGCTACTTTACAATCACCTAACGAATAGAAACGTAACGCTGTCGGGCAACTGAAAAGGTATAAGGATAGTGTTAAGACAAACCTAAAAAGTGCCAAATCGATCCCTCCCCACCTGGGAGACGATTACTCCACACAGTAGCACTTGGAGAAGCACCACACAAGAAGGTGTCAATACTTTCGAGTTAGTCCAATTGCATAACGAGGCAGACAAGAGCCAACGCAGGAAAGACGCCGCCGCCGCTTCTCCCATATTAGATGTAACCCCCACATGTGCAACATCTGTGAACGACCCTGCCGGTTCCGTATCGGCCTCTTTAGTCAACTCAGAACTCACCAACCTAGGTGACATCCTTAATAACTCATATGATTGTATCAAAGCTGGATGATTGTCACATTCGATTCCGAGTGACAGCAGAGTACAGGGTAGTAGTAGTACCACCGAGACTGGGAGGAATGGGATTGACCAATCTAGAGGAGATTGCTGCCACCGAACATCAAAACTCAGTTAAGCT